AGCGTGAGTCACGGCGCCTCAGCCAGAGTTCCATGGACGATCCGCTCGCCCGCTCTTACAGTGACTTTCGCAGCTCGCATTTTGGAAAGAGCCAGGCGGCGGCGCCGGCGAGTAGCAGCCTGCCCAAGTACTGGGGCCGTCAGAGCAAGTTTCTTCCCCGGTCCGAGTACGGCGGCGCGCGGTGGCTGGCAAACAAGTCGATGGACAAGGGGAGCGACACGGAGCCGTCGAGAAGGACCGAGCTCGTCGCGGACAACAAGAGTCATTTTCGACCAAACGCGTCGTCTGGCAATCACCCGAGCCGTGTGAATTTGGGCTCGCCACAGCCGTCCAGCTCCACTGCCACGTCCCGCAATATCCCTCGGGGCACTTTGCCGCAGCCAGCTCAACCCAACCAGCGTGCTTCCGACGCTAACATCAAAAGCAATGGCGTGCCCACTACTCAGGAGGCCGACGTCATCATTCTGTCTTCTGAAGGCGAGGACGAGGAAATCCCACATGATGCAGAGCAATCGTTTTCAGACGATGATGGAGCGGAAGAGGAGGAGGATGAGCTTGAGGATGACGATTTGTCGCAATACGCCCGAGAGATGCGCCAACGCGAGCGCAGGAGCGCGGCAGAGGAAGAATTTGATCTCACCGGCAGTGAAGACGTTGATGACGCGACACTTGCACTGATGGATGAAGTTGATGACGAATATGAGTCGGGTGGAGTGGGAGACGATGACGATGAGGGATACAGTGAGCAAAGGGAAGGCCAGGAAGATGAACAAGGTGTTGATGAGGACGACGACGAAGAGGAGGAGGATGATGCACAAGTCAACTCGGCGCCATCCAAATATCGCGACGCGGGTAACAGCATCGAGGATGCTATTGAGCTCTGAGTCAACGAGAGTGGTCTACGGAAGTCTGCTTTTTTGCTCTACTTCTCTTCGGAAAGCTCCAACGAAATTGTTTGGCGTCGAAGCGAAACTTTCAACCTTTTCTTTCTTGTCACTAAAGCTTTTCTTTGCTTTTGGCTCAGAGCTGCTACCCGCCTGTCTTGATATCTGGGCTGGATATTTTGCTTGCTTGCTTGCTTGCTCGCTGCTGCATAGCGAATGGCGTTTTAGGTGGCGTGGGCAATGGATGGCGGGGGATTTGATGTGGAGGAAAGACTCAACAGTCAGATATGAGCCTTTCTTTGCTAGAATCATGAATTCTGAGATGTCCAAGTCATCTTAAAAGTCATCAACTCCGACTGCTTGAGGCCTGGCTTGCACCGAGCAACAGCTGCGGGCGCTCACCAAGAGAATCCGATTGACCTGACACGCATCTCAGCCCTTCAGCACCGAGCTTGAAAACGACAAGTACAGGTAGAAGGGCCAGTGGCCACGTCCGAATGTGACGATCCCATTAGCTTGACAGACCTGCCTGCAAGTCCGGAGCCCTTTCGTATTGAAGTCAAGTACCATGAAGAAGTAGATGTCATACCAGCATCCGCAAGGTCTTGACTACAAATGCCGCTGCCAAAATTCTCATCTCGGCGGACCAAGCTATCTTAACAACAGTTGTCAAATCAAAACCCTCCTCAAGCTTGCCAGCGTACTTGGCCTACGCACCATGAAAGCAGACAGTTTGTTCTCCCAACTAGACTTTTCGCCGGAAAGTCGAGTCGACGACCTGCGGGATGGGATCCGCAATACGGCCTGCAATTGCGAGACTGGCGCAAAGCCTGGAAAGTTGTTCACCACTCCCACGACCTGGGAGAAGGTGGCGTCGCAGTTGGATGAGACCAGCATATCGTCCGTCAGACTGACATGGTGCGAAAGCTGCGGCTGGAGGGCACCTTCGCCGACCGCACAACGCTCCGCAATACTTGAGCCTGTAAGTTTCTATGGGCCGACCAGTCTGCAAGCGGGGCTTGAGGAGACTTTCGGTAAACGCAACGCAGACAAGAGTCGCGAAGGATGCGGAAGCCCCAACATGACATTCGCCCAAGTGCCTCACTCATATCGGTCCGCCAGAGTACCTGACTCTGGGCGAATGGTCATACTCATTCTTGAATGAGCTTTTGCTCGGCGGAATCAGCATCCAACTCCTCAACCATGACTTGCAAGAAACCAGACACAACTACAAGGTAAAGGCGGTCGTTAAATACTTTCGAAAGCACTTCACATTGTGGTGGTATGCTGATGGCGACTTGTGGCAATATGACGACACTCGCGCTAGAGTTTCGAAGCAAGAGAAGAAGAGAGCACTGGTAATCTACGGACAAGTCGCCTTGCTCGTGTTGGAGATGCAGGCGTCGGGCAAGACACTTCGGAGACTTGCGCATATGGAGCACGCATACCTTTCTATCATCATGGAAATTCACTTCATAACCCTGTCTATTTCCTAGAACCTTCGTGCCCGTGGAAATGCCGCCTAGGATGCTCTCAGAGTAACTTGTGCGCCTTACTTCTTGCTCTTCTTTGATGTAGGCGACGACAGGTCGCCTAACGACTGCCCTTTACCGGCAGAGCGGTCCCTGGATGAGATAAGGATAGCCATTAGATTTTTATAGCTGGCGCTGTTTGTCATCTTGCGGGAGGGTGGGGTGCGGATGGGGCCGGAGGAGACGGGACGAGGCGTGGAAAGCTACTGCTGCTGACTATTGCCTGTAGTTAGACACTGTTTATAAAAATGTACTCATATAATCTTACTCTTCTTCTTGGGAGTGTCGAGCATAGGCTTCGGCTTGCTAGACACCGCGCTGGTCTTGGCTTCAAGAACCAGCTTCTGCGAAACCTTGGTCGAGATGCCCTTCTTGGCCGCTTCTACTCCAGTGAGTCATTTCTTGTTCTTGAGTTTGAGGAAACCCTTACTCTTGGCGATGCTGCGCAATAGGTCGTCGAGTTCGTCTTCATCCTTGATGGTATCGACCAAGTTGTCGATTTTCTAAACCAAACGTCAGCACCATATCTCGAGCCACGCGTAAACATCGTACCTTCTCTGTGTTTTTGAGGACCTGGAGGGCATCCTTAGCCCGCTTGATCTGGGCCTGGTAGCGGGCGGCGAGCCTCTTCGCGCGCTCGCTCATGGTTGTTGATGTAAGCTGGGTGGTGGAGGGTTGTAGAAGGAAGGTGGTGAGGTGTCCGTTGTTTCGAGTGTTGGGAGGGTGTGGAGGAAGAAAAGTGCTGAGCCTGTGATTTGCAATGTGTCTTGGGAAAGGCATCTGGTCTCTGCGGCAATTCATAATGCGCGACACACAACTTCACAACAAAAGCTCACAACTCCGCCAATGTCGGCGAAGGCGCGGCAAAACACGGAGCACATGTCTGGCAGCTCACGACTCAGAGAGGTTCACAACAACTCAGGCTCACAATACATGTGGGACCAGTACAAATCCAACTAACATATGATTATTGATCCAACCACGTAGGGTGGTGAACGCAACATATGCTAAGGAGAGGAAGAGAAATCGCGAGGAGGAAGGCAGGAGGGAGGACAAGAATACATACAGAGCGATCAAGGGGCCGCGAGGGCTTCTAGGGAGCGGAGGATGTCATGGGATGCGGGATTTGAGGTTGTTTTTTTGCCGGTGCTCATAATCCTGCAGTCCATGCTCTTGCAATTGTAATGTCGTTTCGACTCTGATTTCAGTCATGATGAGCAAGTCTCTCTACAAAGCTATCCATTCTAAAGTCCCAGATCTGGGCGGAATGATACGGCGGGCAGGTGGTGTAGCGAGCTTCTCACCTCCGATTGTCCAGCATTTCCTGGGGCTTTCAAATACTCCTTGTTTACGCCGTTCCGTCTGGAGCGGTCGAATGCTCCTTGTCTTCACTACTCCCTCTTTTCTCGGACGAGTCGAATGCTCTTCATCTTCACTCCCTTCTCTTGTCTCCGAGTTGCTGAATGCTCCTTACTTGCAACCCTAATCAAGAGCGAGCAATACAAGGTCTTCGCATAATCCTCTTCCACCGAGGAAAGCAAGGGCGGCGAACCGGCAAACGATGTGCACTGCGCTGGGTGGATTTGTTCCCAATTCAAGCAGCACAGAGGCGAAACTCTTGGGAATACCAAGGCAAATCATCCTTTCTGCTTAAAAGGAGGAATCTGCTGTCTCTCGGACACGCACGGAAACCATGTCCAGCCACTGTGTTGCGCTGCTGGCCGGACAGGTTGAAGTCGGAGCTTTGCGAAAAGACTAAGCGGTCATCCTGGCACATGGCGCGCGCGTAGATTTCGACAAGCCGCTGGAGATGTGGTACCTCTCCTCAGTGTTCCATCTTCGTCTCGCGCGAGCAATTTCGACTGTCGAGCAGCCCACGCCGCAGCAGCGCTTGAGCAGCACGTCAACGGGTCAGATCGGTGAGGTTGTGAGCGCAAAGTCGTCGTGATCGCTGGAAACCGAACTTGTAGCAGGACACGTCCGCTGTACTTGGATTCGATTGCTTGTCGCGTTCGCGAGCAGACGCGCTCGGGATTGAAGCTGAGGTGTGGAGGTTGGAGCGACAGCCGTGTGGAGATGGTCGAGACAAGCAGGGGTGCGTGCACTCCCCTATCCACATTAGGAACTTTTGAGCGAGGGCCACGTTCTCCTCGCACAATTCCGCCCTCCACACACTCTACGAGCAACACACGTCCCCGACGTAGATGGAGGTAGCAGGAGATTCCCATGAGATTTTGAACTGGGAAAGAGGCTTTGAGTGATTCCGATGGCTTGGTGCGACGACAGACACAATCTCCGATGTAGCATCTCTAGAGCGATGGTAAGTAAATGTGGAAAAGAATCGATAAAGCTCGTCGGGAGCTAGTGCTCGCGTAGTGCTCGCGTCGCAAACGAGCGTCCCCGAGAGAAAAGAGATCTGGAAGCAACATCTTCCATGCTGTCCGTGGTCACGCTCGTTCTACTGCAACTGTCATACAGCGCATTTCATCCAATTCCTCTGATCCTACATCACTTGTATCTTTTCTACAAGCTTAGGTCTCTGGTGGAGCAAAAAGAAAACCTAAAAATACCTCAACAAGGCAAAAGGTCTATCCCGGATTCGAACCGGGGTTGCCGGAATTTTTCGAAGGTAACGCAGAATTGTATGAAATCCTGCTTACTCCTCAAAATCCGGAGTGCTCAACCACTACACTAATAGGCCTAGAATAGGATTACCTGGAGAAAACATAAATATATATTGTGATTTATTAAAAAGGGGGTAAGCTCCTACTATATACTACTATTCTACTATAAGTAAATTAGCTAAGAACTCTATTCTTTTAGAATAATAAGAGTATTTACCTCTAATATTAATTCTTTTGTGTGCATCGTGAATCTGGGTATTGATGACAAGAGTTCAAATTCTTCTTTTGGCAATGAGGATTATGACGCATTGAGAGCTGCTGTCCACCGCTGCAGCTAGATACAGAGTATCAATCACTTCTTGGACACCCACTGTGCTGTGCTGGCGCAGGGTTGGTCACATAACCGCAGTTCTAGGCCTTTGTCGAAGTGCAGCGCACTGCATACGTTGAAAGCAAGATGCGTCTGCACAACGTGTGATTATTGTCAGCACATATGAACAGACATTTTCATTTTCCTGCCTAGCATGAGCGGCGACACTAGACCGGAATTCAAGGTCGGCAATTACAGATAATGACGGGCCAAAGACGGAGGCAGTTCAGCATGATTGCTTAGGATGGGCGTCTTTAGTGTTGGCAGCCCAAAAGCCTATTTCGACCTACTCTGGTCGATTTGTCGCACACGGCGTCGGCAGCAATTTGATTGGCGCGCGCTACGAGCTGCTCCTATCTTTCTGCATGGATGACAGTGACTTTTCCACAAGTGGATATGTTGCCATCGAGCATTCTTGATCTGCGAAGATTGCGGTCCAAGGCTTTGGGGCCGTACTGGTCAAACACGGGGCCGATACATGTAAGCATGGCATTTGTAGTCTGTACCATCAGACACGTGTCAGCGGGGAAAGAGAAGAGGGGCAGCGGACCAGCAGCAGTAGTAGCAAAAGTGGAAATGGCAGGAGACGGCGACAGTGCGTGACGTGACTACTCTGCCTACATTTGCGCGGAGGCGGGGCACTCTTTCCAGAAAGCAACCTCGTCTGTCGCTTTTCCTGCAGACGCCCTTCTCTCACCGCTCGTCATCATCTTCCGACAGTCCAGTACGAGTACGCAAGCATCCCAGACAGACATACCAGCGGACCGGCCCGCCATAACTGCAAAGTCAAGGAATCCTCAGCGAGATCCGTGCCGCCACCACAGCAAAGGAACCTAGCCTTGCCCGCCTAGCCAACATCAAACATCTTCTCGTCTCGGCCCCAGTCGATCACCTCGAAGCTTTCAGTCAACGCACAGCGCAAGATGGTTCGTTGTCATCGGATCTGCAAGCAGGAAATGCAAACTGACCAAGCTCGACGCGCAGTCTGCCGACCTAAGCCAGCAGCAACTCGACGACTTTCGGGCTGCATTTGCAGTCTTTGTACGTCCTCGTGCCCGAAGCGGGGGAGTCTAGTGCTAACGACACGCGCAGGACAAGAATAGCGATGGTAAAGTGCTTCGTCCAATGCGTTTTCGGTTCTGACCGGTATGCGCTATGCAGGCGTCATCACGGCAGAGGAGCTGGGCGAAGTAATGCGCTCGCTTGGGCAAGAGCCGACAGAGGAAGAGCTTCGCGACATTGTCAACGAGTTGGACGTTGACACGTCGGGGTCGATTGACTTTGAAGGTCTGTAGCCCATCCGTCCGATGCGCTGCTACCACTCACTCCGCTGTCATGCACTTTGACGACTACCAGCTCCCGTCTAACCAAACTTGTGCGGACTTGTAGAGTTTCTGAAAATGATGGCGGCCAAGTCGAAGAGCATGGACACGGAGCAGGAGCTTCGCCAGGCCTTTGCCGTCTTCGACCGCGACGGCACCGGCACGATTGATGCTGGCGAGCTGTCGCATGTGCTCAAGTCGTTGGGAGAGAAGCTGAGCGACGCCGAAATTGACGAGATTATCAAACAGGCGGACTTGAATGGAGATGGCGCGATTGACTGTGAGTTCCTCTGTCATTGATGACCACTTTGCTGACGCAGTGTCGAGATAATGAGTTTGTGCGCTTCATCAAGTCGCAATGACGAGGTGGTAATGCCTGGATTTTGGAGGGACTGGGTAAGGTCGTTTGATGAGCTTTGGAAATGCCATTCTTTACGCAATCACATCTCTTTTCTTTGACCATTTGATGTAGAACTGCCTCTTCCGGACACGCCAAGTGCATCCTTGCCATAGATGGGAAACCGGCGGGCCTGACGCAAGCCACAAGTCGAATACTGTCGAGGGAGCTGACCACGACACGGAGAGGATTTTTCCGAAAGACACCTCCTTTACTACGGCTCGAGCCCAAAGACCGCGGGCGAGGAGAATCAACCTGACACATTCAGCGAAAGTAGGGGTGGTGGATCAGCGCGGGGGTTGGGGGACCGTGCGGTTTGCAGATGGAGACCGCAGGCCAGGCGGCTATCACGGCGTTCTCGTCTCGTCCCATCGCTTGCCTTGCGCGTTTCATCCGGGGTCGGTCTCGACGCTCGCTTCGCTGCTGCTTCGACTCGACGACTCCGACCGCCACAATATACCTATTGCCATGGCGCCCTCCTGTCGGCCTGTTTCGTTCCTCTTGTTTTCCTCTACTTCTCCACTTCGCTAGCCGGTTGTCGAATCGCCCTTCAAGTCCTTCTTTTCTGCTTGCGTTGAGCCTTTTGCTTTACTACGAGTTGATCTCGTTACAGTCATTCTTTTCACCCAAAAACCACCTTCGCTCATTCCAGCAACATGTACGCTCCCAAGAGCATTCTTCTGGCCGGGCTTGCCGGCTACGCCGCGGCGGGCACCACGCTGTGGGACGGCCGATTCAACGCAAAGACCGAGAGCAACCTGAAGAGCTGGTCGTGGTCAAACCAGGCGGGCGCGTACCAATACTACATCCACGGCTCGGGAGAGCTGTCGTCTTACGTCAACCTGGCGGCCGACTTTAAGAATCCTGCCGACACGGCGTCGGACCTGGGAGCCAAGATCAGCATCGATTCGACGTCGCAGTGGAACAGTGGCGGCATGCTGCGGACTGAATTGATTCCCCAGACCGACGCCGCCATCAACGAGGGCACCGTCTACTACCACTTTTCGCTCATGCGCAAGGCCGCCAACGCACCAAACGCCGGCTATGAGCACCAGGTCTGCTTCTTCGAGAGCCACTTCACCGAGCTCAAGTACGGCCTCATCAGCGGCGAGAGCGGCTCCACTGACCCGGCCCTGAAATGGTACGCAAACTCAGAGAGCCAGTGGAACGCGACGCTCGAGCCTGGCGTTTGGCACAATGTCGCGTACGAAATCGACTTTTCTGGAGGTCAGGTGTCGTACTATCACTCGACGGGCGCCGATGATCTCAAGAAGGTTGCCGGCCCTGTCAGTGTCGATGCCTCGTCCAACGGCGCTGACTGGCACTTGGGTGTCCTCCGCCTCAATGCTGGCACCGACGACACCAAGGAGGACTGGTACTTTTCTGGCGTTTATATCGAGAGTGGCGATATCACCACGTCGGTTGCTGGTGGCAAGTCGTCGTCTTCGGGTGCCAGCTCTTCTTCCGGCGCCTCTGCCGCTGCCGCAGCTGTCGCGTCGACTCCGGCAGCTGTCTCGTCGCCTGCTGCAGTCTCCACCCCTGCCGCCGTGAGCACCCCGGCTGCCGTCTCGGCACCCTCTGCTCCATCCACTCTCGTGACGTTGGCGAGCTCCAGCGCCCCCGCGGCCGCGACCACGACGGCGGCTGCCGCCAGTGATAGCACCACCACCTACAGCAGCGACGATGTGTCGGCATTGTACAAGTGGTACGAGAACCTGGTGTCGTTGATCGGACTCAACTAGGGGCGCCTAGCAAGAGACGGGAACGGGGAGAGATTGATGCGATGATGGAGTGCTCTTGTTGATGCGAGGGACTTATGTTCGTGTAAATATCAGTTCTGCTTCTACCTTCTAAGGTGGAAGAGCTCAAAAGAAGGACTGCTTGGTGCCTGCATTTTTGCCTTCCTCCTGTGTTGTCATTGGGCGAAAAATTGTTGAATCAAGCAGTCGACGCCTGATTTTGAACGTGCTTGACTTGGAAGAGAGATGAGGTGACAACACCAAAGCATACCGTCGGAAGCATCGTTCGGTCTGAAATACGTGGTCAATATTCAGACAGCCAGCTTTGCCGTTCTCACAGCTTCGGGTCGTCGATCTTCAAAATCTGATGAAATTACCAGTCACCGCCCCAATGGCTTCATCTACTTTGTCTGCTGCGGCCCACTAGCACCACCTCCTCCTGTTGCAGATGGCGGCTTCTCGGCTGCCTTCGTCGCCGGCGTTGGTGTTGGCTCCAAGTCGACATCATCGAATTCCTCCTCATAGTGGCGCCACATTTCGGCGTCACGGACGAGGCGCTTTTGTGCACGCATAACTTGCTCATGTTGGATGAGGCGGCGATCGGCCTCGATCATGCTGTGGAGGCGTGCGCGGGTGGCTTTGGTTAGCTTTCAAATGATGCTGAAGGAGATGTGGGAATAGAGAAAAGAGAGATGGGCGAACCTTCCAAAAATCATGCCGCTCATTTGAAGAAATCTGTGGCGGGTTTGGGTCAGCTTGAAATCTGCACCAATGAAAAAGCCGAGCAGTAGGTTCTCGGATGCATGTAGGAGGAATGGTGACGGTAGAAGAGAAGAATGATGTACGCACACTTTGAACTGCACCGTCAAATTACGGTAGATGGGACTGAATGCCCAACCAGCGCCGGCCAGAATGGCAGAGTAGATTCCCCACTGTTGCAAACTCATGGGTTAGCTACAACAGACAGACACTCGGGTATCTGGATCTAGACGTGTTGGATGGATGAGAGGGCGATGCTTCTTCCGTGGCTGTTCCTTGCTCTTCTTTGGTCCAAATTGCTGTGATGGTTGACGAAGTTGCCCAGCAGAGACCGATGGCAGCAAAGGCTGAGATGTGCCTTTGAACTGTCCACGGCGGCTGAGCTCCCGCAGTCCAGACGATTTCCAGTCCTCTCGAAAGATTTGATGCTATGACAAAATGGAGATTTATGAAAATAAAAAGGGAGGAAAGCAGAGACAAACTTCAAAAT